TTAGTAGCACAAATGTAGTTCGAAATCTTTAAATGTAGATCTTTCTCTACTTTTTTTAAATAAAGTTTCAACTATGCCATTTACAAAAAAAAAAAAAAAAAAAAAAAAAAGACGTAGCTGTGCCCCCGATTGCAAAAGACTGGCCTTTTCTAAACATGCATCCTATTCGTTATCATCTTGAAGTAAGCCTAAAGCTTTACACGCCTCTTTGAATGTAGGGTAAGTGATATTATTAACTGTTGAAGATTATCGAAGGATTTTGCGCCATGTATAATATTTAATAACATGCGAAGATAATAACGTTCGCCAGATCTCGGATGTACAAAATACATTCTGCCAATAGTATTTCTTCGTTGTCGTGGTTTCCATTCTTTTTGTTGTTTATTATATACCCAACGTGTAGGAAACTCTCCGTATATAAGTTCTGATGCTTCATAAAATTTTTGGTTTGCTTTAAACCATGCAGTTAATGTGGTCTTGATGGTTGGTCTACGCATAATTACATCACTATAACTTTCATTAGTGTCGAAAACAACCATATGCTGTCCTGGAAGATGAACTTGCAACCTCATAATATCTGGTTTTTTATGATGTAATTTGTAATGGAATAATCGCCAAGAAGCTTCGGACGCAGAAAGATAGCGTGCATTTATAAAAAGACGAAGTTCGTTAATTTCTTGTGGTAAGTTTTCTTGTAAATTACTTACCTCAATTATAGCACGATCATGCCCTTATAAATATATTTAAAAAGGTATTTTACAGCTAAAATAGAAGAGCATATCTCTACATTAATGTGTGCGTCATATTTAGTGTTGAAAAAAAGATTATGAGGCACAACCCAACGATTATCTAATTGCATGCCTCTAACGTTCACTGATCTTCCATTGTCAGAGCGACCATATATGGGATAACCGTCTTTATTTACAGTTGTAGAAGCACAAAAACTACGTGAATACCTTTTCTGCATTGTCCATTTTTCATGCAAGGGGAATTAGAATTGGCAGAACCGCAAGGACCATGCATTATTGTGAGTTGAATTGTGTCATAAGCTTTAGGATGTAAATCCTTATCAGGTATTTCAGCAGACACAATTGCGTCATAATCTTCAATAGTTTTTGGCTTACTATCTTGGTCAAGAATTAAAAGGATATGGGAATGCGGAAGTCCACGCTTTTGAAATTCTACTACATATACATAAGCTACAACAATTCCAAAAATGTGGTGTTTTAAAATATCTTCCATTAAAGCTTTCAATTTCATATTGAAGACGCGTGTTGTCAAATCAGGACGATTAGATGCTGCTTGGTTATTGAGGAGTTCTGTGGTAATTTCGGGCCATGCGGGATTGCATGTAAAGGTAATAAAAAGATCAGGTTTGCCAAAGGTACGTACAATTGCTATTGCATCTTGATATAGTTGTTGCATTTGACACAGCCCTCCAGTAAAAGTTGAAGGAAGAACTATTCATCTTCCTACATTCGCCATATTAGTCATGGATAATTGTCTTGATTCATCATCATATGCAGCCAAAGTATCTTGTAGCCCACTATAGAGCTCTGCACGAATTTGTTTTTTATTGTGCTTTAAGAAATTATGCCTATTTTGCTCTCACTTGCGTAGGCATCTACTATGTATTGTTGAAAAAGGCGGCCTGCAAGATGAAGTCCTAATCCACCTGGTCTACGTATCTGTAAACAGTATGAATAATATTGCATCATGGTAACATACTTACACAATTTAACGGTAGATTCATCATCCAATAAATTTTCTTCACTACAAAGGTCAGGTTGATTTTCAACAGAAGCTTCTGAATATGTAATATCACGAAGAAGAATTTTTGGATGCCATCCATCTTCACCTCTAGGGAATAATAGAACATAATGTAATGGTGCATATGCTCTATGTAATTTGGATATACGTTGTAGACCACCTTCATAAGAGTGAAGAATAATATCTCGATTACATATTTCCGTTTCATTATTAGGTTCCTCAACTATAATAGCTGCGACTTCTGATGCACACGGAAGGTTGTATTGATGTGAATCAGCAACTCTCGAATCTTTTATTAACATTGTTAAATGTTGAGATCGATCTTGATGCAAGATAGTACCTGTTTGCTTAAAAATATATACATATGGATTAATCTCGTGAAGCATATTTTGAAGCTCAGAAAGAGTTACTGCATCTAAAGAAGGCATAAGCCTATGCCTATTTTGAGTTTTGTTTTCTACATCAAAAATATAAAGCTGCGCAAATGAAAGTGGCTCAGTATTCGAATGAGGAATAAGTGGCCCAATTCTATGATACATTTCACCATGTATACAAAAACTATAAAGGCCTCTTGTTCAAGTAATACAGTCATCAACCTTGGCACCCATAGATGTAAAAGCTAAAGCACTATTATAGGCGGATACGTATCATTTCACCGACAAACACTTCACCGACATCTTAGTTCACCGACAATTAATTCACCGACAAGTTCATTTCACCGACAATTAATTCACCGACAA